TAAACGTAAATTAAAAGAATATTATAGATAAATTTATAGTTCCTTCCCTTTTGATATATAGATCCTTGTATACGTAGATATGCTTGTAAGTATGTGAATACATATTTTGCATACGTTTTTCAACCCATGGATATGGTGAACTTCGAGTTCTTCTTGAGCTCTTGTGGTTTTGACTTTTAAATGCTTTTCCTCATTAAAATCATAAAATTAAATGAGTAGTCCGCACAATGAGATGAGTTGCATAGACAAAATGTAAAAAATTACAGATTTATGGTAGCAAGAAAATTGGAAAATATTGCATTTCCAATTATTGAGCGCCGCAATTACGTTAAAATGGGTGAAATGAATGATTAACAACAGTCAGAAGAAGAGCATTAAAGGAAAGCGCAAACACATAAACCAATGTTCATATGTGAATATTCGCAGAGCTTCAGTTGCCTTTACAAGCGGCATTCTTGATTCAGTACATACATTCATACCTACAAGCATACGTATAAATATATTTACATACATACATATATAAGAAATGATGTCTGCTTGTGCCAGTGGCGTTTAGAGGTGGAGTAATTTCGATGTTTGCTACCATCGATCGATTTTCGATGTTTTAAAGCAATACATCGATTTGAAATCGATTATTGTGAAAAACTTTGGCGTTCAAAATCAGACTTAAGTTAGTACCTAAACTTAGCTGTCGAGTTTTTGATACATAACCCATTAAAAATTATGTCAAAAGGCTGGGAGTAGCTTAAAGTGTGAACTTAATTTTGGCTATGAAATAAAATAAATCAAAAAGACCTTTTGTGGATTTATTTCCTTCCATGAAGGTATATGTATGCATTGCAAATTTGAACCATATCGGACCATAAATATGGGTTTTTCAAACATCTTTAAACCTGCGCCATCTGGTAGATCAATTCGTCTTTCATATTACATTGTCATTGGATTTTGCGCTAATATAAGTAGATTATCCTCATTTCCGAGTTTTACTGCCTAATCTGTTATTACAAAAAGATACTAGCCATACAAAATTCGTCGCTCGTTAATCTGCAATTATGGAATAATGTCATATTAAACCGATAACTTTTCGGTGTCCAACTTATTTTGATTTTGGTTTAGAAAGAAGCTAATTTTATTTCATTTTACGTGCGCAGAGGTGTACAAAAAAACCTTCGATAGTCGCCATCAACCATCGATGTCTAACGTAAATGCAAAAACATCAATGCATCGATAGTGCCATCGATGTTTTCTTGTTTTTTCCACCTCTAGTGGCGATATGGTACGGGGAGTTTTTTGTGCTGCACGCATCATAAATGAATTTTACGAGTGGCTTTTATCTTTACGACAATACACATACACATACATACAAACTTGTAGATTGATGTATGCGCGCATTTCAAAGTGACTTCAACTGCTATATACGAGTATGTAACCTAAATGTACAATATACATAGACATGTACATACGTACAAACGAAGGTAGTACGATAAATCAAAGTTCTCGTCTTAAGCGTTGTCTTTCTGATTCGTCCAAAATCTCTTACCATTAAAAAATTGTTTCTGATTTAAATAGAAGAGTATGAAATATTAAAAGCGGTATAAATCGGGAAAAATTTTGCACAGCCTAGCTTTTCATGGCCCAAATTAAGCACTTGTGAGCCCAGGATGTCTCATTTTTAATTCTCTGCGAAATAAACGAGTTTGCCCGCTTTCCATTCCTACCAAACACGCGCTTAATGATACAGCTTGCTCTAAATTTGACAATAGTCTAATAATATACGAAAGCTGACAGTAGCAGTATTAAGTTTAAAGTAGCGAAAAACAAAAAAAACAAAAAAGGTGCGGAGTTATCAAATTGCCCTCGTAATATAAACACTTTCTTGCTACAACATTGCAGTTAACTCATACCTTTTTCGCTATAAAGTTAATGAGAACTGTTGACGGTAGGGAGAAAATACTTAAACATGTACATATACATGCACATATACATACACATTTTTATCTTCATATAAAATGTCAGTTAAAGGCAAAATTGGCGCTTAACATCAACAAGAGTTGGGTGTGTTTTTAATGCTTAAGCTATCAAGCCATATCAAGTACGCTGATGCCATCATTTAATAAAAAAAATCATAAATTTACGTTAACTGTAGTGGTCGACTGCCTGATATTTTCTTTCAAACTGAATTTCATAATGAGAAATTTAAAAGTTTCAACATGTTGGCTGCTGAGGGATCAGAAAAACTTGCAGAACTAAGAGCAACAAATTCTGTGCCAGGTAAATAATTTTGATATATCGCCAAGCTGATTGCGAAAAACAACAGCCACAGAGCCAGAATTAACAAAACGACAACTCGTATCTTGGCAATTATTTATTGCGAGAAAGTGGAAGTGCATATTCTTACTGTGCTAAATGAGAGAAACCACTGTGTTGTGGCAATGTTTGATAGTTAGAAGAAAATATTGTAAGTAAATTCCCCGACCTAAATGGTCAGTTGTTGGAAATCTCGACAGATATCCTCAGTACCAAAATATATACGTCTATTTACGTACATACGTTTGACTACGTTGGATCTTGAAAATATATATTTGAGCACAAAACATCTTTCAATAATCTCGTCGACCTAAAGTGGCTCCTAAGCTTATTAATAATAACTCACTTTCTACCCCACTAAACAGAACATTGCTCTTCATAAAATAAAACATTTTTGTAAAATAGTTTTAGCTAAATTTCAAAAATTGCTGCATCGAGAGACCAACCTGTAGTCATTGAACTTGCTGTTCAATGTGTGATTCCAACATATTACTTACTTCAATTAAATTTTATGTCCTTCTACTCTATATCACTATAAGTATCCTCTAAACTATTAGTAATGCTAGTTTGCTTCAATCCGTTCATTCACTCAATTTAAACATTCATTCGATATTCACACTTCATCATTAATTAAACAAAGTCATTCAAACAAAAATCACTCAAAAAATTTTTGAATACAAATGAAAATAGCTTTTAAATTGAAGGCGTATAAGTTAATTAAATAACAGAAAAAGAATAGCAACCCTGCAGGGAATAGGGCAAGTTTGTAACTAAATTACCCAGCGGTCTACTAGTTGTAACTTAGTACTGATTTCCTTCGGCCGTAACTAACTAATTTTGATGAGCGATGACCGCAAAAAAGTCAGAACTGGTTTTCTCTGCATTAGGTCTCAACTAACTTTTAACTAACTACTTTAATACTGGAAAATTGAACTATTAAAAACCAAAAAATATTTCCAAGATCACTCTTTAATAAATGACTATAACTTATCATCCGATCACGATGCAGAGATGGTATTTTCAAGGATTTTAGTCGCAAATTCCAGCCTTAAGTTAAGCCTTTAGCCTGTTGTTTTATCTTCTAGAGCTTCTCAAATATTGGAAAAAACGAGTTTTTTTGCCTCTTTTTTCTCAAAATCTGTAGCTGGTGGAAACTTTTTATTTACGGATTCTAATCAGCGCCAAAAAGTCCATCAAAAACAGCTTTAACACTTGTCACCCCAAATTTGTTTATCCATTTTTGTTAGTCTGTGTAATTGTTTTCTGCAGAGAACCTAAAATTTCTAAATGTTGAAATGTTGAGCCTGATGAAGTAACTCATACGCCATGGCATGCCAGCAATTTAGACTGGCAGGCAAGTAGTTGTATTTCAAAATCAACGGCAAAACGCATGAGCGTGATTACTTGCCTGTCTGTCTAAGCTACTCGGTCGACAAACTTATGTTCAACGCTATGTCACAATTTAAAATAGAGTTATAAATAACAAAGTTAGACAAAAAGTCTAAACATCTAGTCTAAAATAACGTACAGTAAAAAAATACGAGAAAAACAAAAAAAATATTTCGAAATCGCTCAAAATCAAATTTCGCTTACCGCTGGCTTTTTTACTCTCTGGAATTTTATTTAAATAAGTGTGACAATCACAAAGCGGAAGTAATTTCCTATTTATTTTTTTTTTTTACACTGTAACCAACTAAGAGATTTTATTTTTGTCGAGTCCACCAAAGTACGCCAGAGGAAGCCTTTCTCTTCTCTGTTACCAGCATCGTTTGAAGGCTGACATTATTATTGGTGTTAATACTGGTTCTTTCATAAACTAAACAGTCCACTATATCTACATTTAAATTGTCCATGTTAGCGGCTCCAAAAAGGCGATACTTTGATGACAGGAAATACCTCGTCTTGTACTCGTTTACCACCAGACCCATTCGGCTTCCTTTCTTATCCAATTTGAATAAGACAGTACACATTGTTTGTTTTTCTTCAGCTAAAAGATGTAGTTTCCTGTTAAAAACTTTTTTAAGTCGCATAACTATCTGACCCGCACTGCTGACCCAAATTCCATTTAGACTTAAATATTCAATTAACATGCCCGTTTCACATCGCAGATGAAAATTAACAACATTTTATTTATTTTAATTTTAATAAAGTGAAATGGCCAAAGTATTTTCATACACATTTTCAAGCAGGGTTTTCTGCCAGAAATTTCGCTGATTCAGGTGGCGCAGTCTTAGCAGGCAATTTATATTTTATATTTTAGGTGAAGTGTGCAAACGAATTTAATAAAACAAGCGCATTTATTACTGTTTTTTTTTTTGTAATACATTTTTGTTATTATTTCTTAAATTTACTAACTGAAAACGAAACAAAAAACTCACAAGTAAATACTTCGAAAAATGTACATTACTTAATTCCGCGCTTAATTAGAAACGCGGCTGCAAAATATGTATTTGCACTGGCCGTATTGCTGACCTTAATACTCGTGTGTAGCGCCCAGCTTTTTCCAACACAAAATGTAGAAAATATACGAAATGCGCAAAATGAAAATCGCCATTTACACTTCGACAAATAGCCTCAAACCCCAACCCAGCAACGAAAACATAGCGCGCAACTTCAAATGCATATGTTAAAAATTGCAAAAATCAACAACAATTCGTAACATAACTGAAAGGTCTGCGAATAATTAAACTCACCTGTTGTCCGGAATGGAAAACGAGAGCAACGCTGTTTTCTTGTTTTCCTTTTTGCTTCTGCTGCTTCAAACACGCGCACACAATTTCAAAACTCTAGTCCAACAAGCAATGGTGCAACTGTGGTCGTTACTGCACTAGCCACTGGCAGCTGTGCTCGAATAAGTTGGGGTGGCGGTGGGAGCTAGTGATTGCGTACGTTTTGCACCGCTTTTTGTTAACGTTCTGTCCGCTCCTCGTTCTATCGTTTCGTTCGGTCGACTTCAAATTTACATCAACAGTTGATGCTTGGTATTCTTTGTTCTTGTTGGTTTGTTAATGGTTCACATAGCCTTTGCAACTGGACTGGAACTGTAAATACAAAATAAAAAGGCATAAATGCATACACCATATACGCTAGTATGGAAGTAGGTAAGCAAGACGCAATGCAATTTCATTTTTTTTTTCGTGCAGATACTTCATAAATGAGAAATCAGTGCAAAGTAGTTCACGAGCAAAGCTACCCTGCAGGAAGCGATGTTAGCTTAAATGTAACCTTAATCTGTTTACACGAACACTAGTGCTGACTATTTGCTGTATATTTTGTGGATATTCCTGCATTAGGTGTCAACTTACATAACATTTCAATAAGAAAAAATTTGCTTAATTTTTTTAGTTTTTTACAGGTTCAGTTATTTCCTTTTTAATGTTAAATAATTTTTAGGAAATTTTGACATTTTTTAGGAATTTTTATGCAATAAAAAATAGTAACACAAAAGGTAATCTTACTCGTTTGATCCTATCAGCACACCTGTATATTAATAAATGTAAATTGATTTAAAATTTCGTTGAAGTAGGGCAAAATAATTTATCCATACCGGCGCGCTCAAGAGATGAATGCAAACTACGATCTGTCGAATTTCTAGGCCAACTTTGCCTAAGTGTGATCAGAAAAGGTTGCAAACAATTGGCGCTCTAACCAGTAAATACACAGAACGGCTCAAAGTGCCTTGCCATAGATGCTGCCGAGGTTGCAAAAATTATGAAAATGAGGAGATAGTTATCCATATTCTCTGTAACAGTCCGGCATTATGGAGGAGCAGATAGTGTTTTCTGAGGTTTCTTTTCATTAGTGACCTTGAAAAAATGGGAGATATAAGCCCTAGGTGTCTGACGTGTTTCGCAATGTATTTGTAAATGGCTTAGCATATTTTTACTAAAAATCATATCTTCAAAAAAAATTTAATTTATTCAAAAAAAATTTGTCATAAACATAAATACAAATTTTTGAAAAATAAAACTCAATAATTTTACCCTTCTATCTTGCAGTAGCAATAACTACTAACAAAATAACTTATAACTCGCGCAACAAGTTTTTTCGACAAAAAAAAAATGGTTCCCATTATTTGGTCCAACAAGAAACATATTTAGGTTTCATCGAAATTTTAAATAATGCCCGTACCTAACCGGTTGTCTTGAAATGGAAAGAATCTTTAGCATTATCTATAGTGTTACATGAAATACTCGCACTTATTGGCGAATTGCATTGGAATCAATTTTCCCATAAATTATAAAGCAAAACAAAAACAACGTTTCTCAATAACATAACATATCATCAAAATGATTATACAAAATTTCGGTTTCTGGGCTGGAAAAATTATCCGTGAAGTCCAGAGAAAAGTATTTTGAAAGTAAGTTTTGTATGAGAATATTAAAGAAGAAACTTGCTTAAAGTATACCGATAAAGTATACCGATAAAGCCGATTATGTCTGCATGAGTTTACAACTTCCTTTAAGTTGATTTTGTCATAACTAAGTAAAGGTGAGATATTTATGGAAATCACACAAAAAAGCTGGCTACAAGTTTTTTTTTTTATTTTTGTCAATTGATAATTTTTCACCGCAGGGTACTTATATGTACATATTTATGTATGTGTCTATGTTTTGACTGTCTGCCCACTTGCATGCGTTTTTCAGAGATTGTTCACCTTCTTTGCTCGGCTAATTAAGCGATAAGCCAGCAACAGAATTAGTCGCATTCAAATCTGTATGTATGTATGTATATTTGCAATATACATACACGGGAGCTGTGTTTCCTGCCATGCTAAATAGGCGTTGTTGAGTCTCTTAGTCATTCTTATCTCAGATTGTGAAACACACGAGAGTGCCTTAAGGAAGACTTTTTTATTTACACTCACTCTTGCACGTACACACTTACACAGTTTTGTTGTTGCTTAGATTGTGGCAAACATGTCGGGCACGTTGGGCTGTAATTGCCGGCTAAGTGTTCAGCTAGAAGGCAACCGTTTATGAATGAGATAGGTATGAAAAATGAAAAGTGAAACGCAGTGAAAAAATTACTGCTTTTAATGATTGTAATGACATCTGCAAATTTGTAGACACTTTTAGTGATGTACGTAGTAGATATGACATGAATTATGCCTTATGGAGGAGGCATTTCTTGTGAACACCAGGAGGTGTTGGAGGAGAAGCTTGGCCAAACTCTACCATAATTTACGACAGAGATGTGGGTAGTGCATTAAATTTTCTGTTAAATGCATATTTTCCTAACACCCTTTTCGTAGTGAAACTCGTGAATATTCTGCTTCTTGTTGATTGGCGCTGTATCCGCCCAAGCGATTTTGGTCGGTCCAACAAAGTACGCCAGTCGTTCGTCGACTACACTGATCTAAGGGATATTCCAGCTACTGCTAGCATCCAAACGTCTCTTCCTATAAGGGTGGACTCATATGAACTCTAAACTGCAAACACGTTCGGGGAAACCCTAGTATAGTAACGCCGTACCACGAAGATCCTTCAACCCAGTAATTAATAAAGTAGTAAACTTTGAAAAAATAAACTTGGCCATAAGGACGTTTAAGCCCTACAAATCTCCGGGGCCAGACGGCATATTCCCCGCACCGTTTTCAAAAGGTACAAACAAAATTATTAAAAAATTGGTAAAAATCTTTAGGTATTGCTCTATCATTGTTATCTATCGTAGGTGTAATGGAAATGGCTTTTGCATCAAAGGGTACTGCCTTCTGCTCATTCATGGATATTGACAATCCATGGGAGTGGCACCCTCCAATAGAGATGCAAATCCCAAAATAGTCTATTGGATCGGCAAAATGTTTACCCAGAGGACAATCGCAGGAAACCTAGAAGCAGAGTAACTCAGCATCATTGCAATAAAAGGTTGTCCACAGAAGGAGGTGTTATCTCAACCGTTGTGGTCTATACTGTCTGATGAACTAGTTCAAGACCTTAAAGCGAACGGATGTCAAAACGTAGGCAACGCTGATGATACTACATCAATTATCATCAACGGCGGCCATGAAAGGACAATTAGGGACTTGATGCAGGACGACATAAACATAACTTAGAATTCACTACAAAAAGGAAGCTATGCTTTCCAGATCTAAACATAAGTGGTATAAATATAAAAGTCAAATATCTAGGCATAACCCTGGATAGAAAACTCATTTGGGAAGTCACATCTCAACTCTATTATCAACAAAGCTACAAAATAATTGTTTACCACTAAACAGCTTCTAGGAAAAAGATGGGGGCTGAATCCCAAAATGACTTTCTCGGTTTATACTTAGTTGGTCAAACACATTACATTGTATTGGGCATTCGTATGATGAAAAAGATCAATCAAATAACGCAATTAAAAATCCAGCGAATTGCACGTCTATCCCGCTCAATTTTACGCCCCCTTATGTGGCAATACAATAGGAAGCAGCAACGCAAGCACTCATGTTTAATAGGAAAAATAAATTCAAACAAGACAACCTTGTCGGTCACCTTGAAATCTTAAAGAAATCTGTTCCTAGACCAAATTCATCCCATCCCTAGCTCAACGAAGCGGTATAAGATCATACTTGCTACTCTTGAAGATTGGAACTCGATATTGGATATGTACAAAAATATTAGGGGTATTATCGAAGTCTTGCAAAGCCCTTGCCCAGTGCACGGTTCGCAAAGCTGTGCCATAGGAAAACCGGTTTTTACCATACAATCCGTGCACCGCTCAAGGGCTTTGCAAGACTTCGAAAATGCCCCTATTCTAAAAACACACAAAAACTTCCGAGCGGCTCTCTTATAACAACCACACTGAGGTGCACGGCAATCCTTCCGGCTGCTCTAAGTATACGATCGATACTTAAGTAAACTGGTAGAAATCTGAATATGATACATATTTATTTTAAAAGTTGTCTAGTATATTCCTCGAATATAAAATATAGACATAGAGTCCTTGTTATGGCTTCCCTTTTCAGTTTAATATACCAAACCTTCACAGAATTCACAACTATACGCTCTGGCTCATTACAGTTTATACCGGACTTTGTATTACAAAGGTCCTTCTATATAATCCTATCGTTGGATTTGTATAAAAATCAATATACATCTAATACCCTGGATTATGCTACGTGACAGCCAAATTTTAGATATAAATCCATAAGTGGGTACCCAGGTACCCCGGTGGAACTACAATGTTAACTAATTTAGTTGGGCACACTAGGGTTAAGAGATTTTCTCTTTTCAAAGAGTCTGAGCATTTACATTAAATCTTAACCAAGATTCTATTTTACTAAAAAGGTCTTATAAGAAACTTAAATTTCAAGACAAAACTACGGCATCCAGCAATTGCAACATGCTAAAGAAAAAAAAAAAAATGCAAGCAACATGCGCAGCCGCATGCCGCAGCAAAGTTTCGACAAATATTAGATCTTACACGATGCCGTTCAGGAGTCGTAAAATGTAAATTCTCAGGGTAATTAAGATTTCGCGAACATGCTGGCGTGTTGCAAGAACACATTGTGGCAGGCACGCCCATATACAGTACATGCGACAAGTATGTATGTACAAACAGTGAAATTAGGAAAGCAAACGGATAAAGGAAGAGACATGCTGCTGTCACTGCCACTGCCGCCACTGCCGCCACTGCCAAGACAAACAACAGCCAACAAGGCAGGCGGATAAGGTGGCGAAAGCCAAGAAAGATGGCAACAAAAAAAAAAGAAAACATTTCGAATGGCAAAAGAATGTAAAACATGTGGTGCCACACGGTGGTAAAAACGTTGATGACATTGTCTCTAGTTGTAACACATTTGCTGGTACATTTGGAGGTCTTTGTGAAATGTAAGTGTGTGTGTGTTTGTATAGAATGTATGTATGTGAGTGTGTATGTATGTAAATTCAAATGCTCTATTTGCATAATTCAAATAGTAACATTAAAAGTTGTTGTTGTTGTTGTTGTTGTTGTTGTTGCCGTTGCAGTTGCAACACTGTCGCCTTTGGCATCCGTTGTGCCGCAACGACATTAACGACAGCAGTCACATTGGCGGCAGCTAGAATCTTTATGT